AGATAAACGTACAAGTACAAAGCAGCCAAATTTAGTTATTAGTTTTTTGATATATATTCGACCTTTATATATTATAACTTAAGATATAAATTATAGTCGGATAGTAGGTCATGAAATATACTTATATAAGTTCAAATAACTTCTGTTTATTCCTTTTATTCAAACGTTTCGATCCTTTTTTTTTTTTTTTAACCTAAATAATGAGATCCTGAGAGAGAGGGCCTCAACGCGCAACCCAGTCCTGGAGTCCGAGAATAATATTAATACCAACAATAACAGTTTACACAACAATCTCTGTTTGGTTGTAATTAAAATTGTCAGATTTTACACCAAAACTCACGACCAAACGGGATTTATTGTGTACACTGTTATTGTTGATATTAGTGTTATTCTCGGACTCCAGGATTGGGGTGCGCGTTGAGACCCCCAATAGCTTGATGTCCTTGTGGCGGTACTTTTGGGTCTGTCAGCGTGCTGCCCGGCTTGATGTATCGATGCTCAATTAAAAATAAGAAAATTTAGGTATTATTATAGAAAATTATGAAAACTTTTGATTGTTATTCTAATGATAGGTTTTGTTTTTTCAGAACCGAAGAGGATCTTATTATTTATGTTAATATATGTGTATATATATATATATATATATATATATATATATATATATATATATATATATATATATATATATATATATATATATATATATACATATATTAACATAAATAATAAGATCATATATATATATATATAGGTTCTTATATCTCTATATAAGATCCTTTATATATATATCTATATATATATATAGGATCAAGGATATACAATTATATATATATATATATATATATATATATATATATATATATATATATATATATATATATATATATATATATATATATATATATATAATTGTATGAGTATGTGAATAGTTGGATATTTTAATTAATTTTGTTTAAAAATAATAGTAATAGTAATAAATAATAATAATAGGTAATCGTTTTCTTCCATATTTTAACAAGACAATTGAATATATTACAATTTGTATATATTCACTAAACATGGGATGAAGGGGCACAGCCTCCATACCATAGTTCCATTTCTAGAACCTTTTTAGCTAGAAATAAATAATATAAAAAACTGAAAAACTTTTGATTTCTTAGTTTATCTAACCTCCAAATAAAAAAACATTTTCACTGTCTGTCTAGTTATGTAAAATGCCTATAAAAACATACTCTACAGAATATATTTATGTTTGTACTTATTTTATATATTTTTTCCAATTTTTTTCGCAGAAAATCTATAAGAAAATCATGTGAAAATGGATGTGTCCATATGATAGATGAATAAATCATATAATCCAAGGATATGTTTCTATATTATTATCTCTGAATATAAATGAAAATTTAAATAATATGAGTATTTATGCCTTGATAAAAATATGTGCTTATAAGCCTTAGCCTAGTAGAAATCGACTTTAGCCTTATAGCCATAATAGCCAGCTAGTTGACTTTTCTTATTTTCTCAATAGTCGATTTTGTTTTTATATTTTATTAATTCATGTAGATTATTTGTTATCAATGTTATTTTTTAATTAGAAATTATTCGGAGGGGGGCAAAACGTTATTCTCGCCCACTCAGCATTTTTATTTGGGTGCTCTCCCTCCCCGATGTATTCGCCTATCTTCATCATGGCTCTACAATCCGGACCTCTACCAGTTGTCCCTTTCCTGTTTTATACCATCGAATTTTTTATTCCAAGAATATCTCTTGCATCTTTAGGCACACCATGAAACCAACGCAAATGTAGGCCTATCTTTTCTCCTCGTGCCTTACAGCGCTTGCTTAATGAGCTTCGTTGGTATTTACACCTCTTCCATTCCTGGAACATTTACTGCCCACCTTAGCCTTCTCAACTTGATGATCTGTATGGCATGGGATATAATTCCCGGTTATAGCATCCTCTCCATTGTCCAGCAGTTTGAAGTCCTGCATATATTCTTCGGAGGATTTTCCTTTCGAATAATAGAAGGTCTCGTTTGTCATTTTGCGTGAGTATCCATGTATCACAACCATAGAGAACTTGCCTTGTCAAAGTTTCGTCTAGTTGGATTAAGTGAGTTCTAAATAAGAGGCGACTTTAAAACGTCTTGGAAGTGGTTGATATTTACGATTGTTTTGTTTTTTTATTTCAGCTGATACATTATTATCACTTGTCACTAACGACCCTAAATAATATGTTATATACTTTCTCAAAATTTTACGAGCCTTTGTTCAGTATGTCTCCAGGTCTTCTACTGCCTTCCACCACCTTCGCTTTGTTGAAATCCAGACCAAGTCTATTTGGAATTCTCTTCAAATATTCGTGATAGCGAAATAGCATTTGATGTGAAGGAAACTACTGACTCTTCAAACAAGTCGTCATCCATTTGCCAAAGCTCATTTAAGCAAACCAGCCCTTGGATTATTTATTCAGAAAAACAGTTAGGAATATTTTTAGTTACACCAGTAGACAAACATGTAATGATGATTGGGGATTAGTTTAGAGAATTATTTGTATAAGTCCTTAACAGCATCGGCCTTATCCACCTCCCATATACTTGAGTCATTATTGATGCTTAGAAGCGAATTTATTCCATTCTGTGTTACATTAAAAATATATATATTCCTCCCTTTTTACAAAATACTTATAGCATATATAAAAATGTAAATTATAATTAATTTTATTTTTTATATTTTCCAGGTAAGAAATACTTTCACTATATCTTCCAATATAAGGTAAGTGTACTGCGCTGTTTAAGAATATCTACTTTTTGAACTATTGAACTCAATGCTATGTCAAATAAATGTCATACACTCAATAAATGTCAAAAAATTGTCATTTAACGTTTAAATTTAACTTTCTTTATATGTAAATGACCCATATACTGTCGAAATCGTGTATATTAATATGCTTTCGAATTATGTGCCGTCTGCCTAACTACAGTTGTCATCAAATTAGCAATGCTTCCTCATTTTGTTTATATAAATATTTAAAGTGGCTTGTTTTAGAAATAAATAAAATGCAGTTTTTTTTTTAATCTCAATGGAAAAAAACGCTACAAATTATTTCACAATGGTTTATAATTTCCAAACAATTGTACATCTCAAGGAACATTACCTTCCTAGTTACAAAGAGAAATAAATAAAAGGTGATCACAATTATTGGACTAATTTTTTTTTTAATCATTAGTAATATGCTAAAACTAATATGCTATTACTTTAGTAACATATTCAAAATTTAAAAACCAAAGCAAAGGAACCTTTGCAGTAGAACATACAAAAAAAAAAAAAAAACCCTGCAAATTATTTCACAATGGTTTATTATCTCCAAATAATTGTACATTTAAAGTAACATTACCTTCCTAGTTACAAACAAAAATATATGAAAAGTGATTAAAATTATTGGACTAAATCTTTTTTTTAATCATTACTAATATGCTGACAAAACTCACATTACTTCAATAACACATTCAAAATTCAAAAACAAAAACAAAGGATACAAACTTTGCTGTAGAAGATCCAAAAATATACTCGAGACCATATCTTTGCTCCTAATTGTCCGATTTTTTTTTTTTTTTAGGAAATTCCGTAAACGTTTAAAATACTATATCAACAAAAAAGTGTATACTTTTTGAGTTATTCTTAATTTAATTTTACCATCCCTCGTAATGTTTTTCCAGCTTCTTTTCGTTCAAGTATGTTATATAGATAAATTTAAAGAACCTCAAGAAAATGACTTTAGCGAAGTTTCATTGAAATCGATACAATCTACTTATCCTGAAACGTGAAATCTCAAATTTTGAGAGGAGGTTAAGTTTTTGGTTGATCGTAGTGGTTCATTATTGAAAATAATAAACTAAAAAAATTGTAAACGCGTTTACTAGATTGGATGCTTTCTAGTATTACTTTCTTACTTTAGCATAACTCCAAATACCTGTATTATGATTAATAGGTCTGTTTTTTTTTTTAATCCGTCACACAGTGGGGTGTCTATACAATATAGCAGGACCAGACTCATATTAAATGAATTAATTTAATTTTTTTTAGTTGTAAGTATATCAGTTAAAAAATGTTTAATATAATTAAATATGTCCATTTAATTTATAGTTGGATAGTTTTTGGTGATGTTTTGTTATCAAGTCAAATTGATAGATAACCTTACATTCCACATGTTTACTGATTAATTGCGAGTCAGTGAAGAACATTTCTTGACGTATTCCACATCATTCTGATCCTCGATTTATTTTAAATTATTATAGATTATAAACCGTATCGTTACCACTCCCTTCCTTAGTATCCTCTTCGCTAGGATGCTAGCGTAGCTATTATAACTAGTATGCTCAGACTCGGTACGTTTCTGTGTAATATACGTTTAAACATTCTTAATAACTTTTTATTTTTTGGAATAGAAAGTTTCAAATCCGACGACAAGTGGAAACATGAGGCAGAAAGCAAGTGTATTGTAAAATTTATCGAGAAAGTTAATGCAGCATCACGTTAAACAGTAAGCGAAAAATCTGCACTTGCGACATTAGGGGTTTTTAGTTGCAAGGTAATGCTATCAGATGCGTACAATAGGCCTACATGGCCGCCGTGCACTCATAGCGCATTTATAAAAAAAAATGCTATCAGATGGATGAAGTCCATCATCATTTTTCAAACTTTACCTCCTTTTAAGAAAAAGTATGCTCTGAGATTTGGGAAAATAGTGAAGAACAATAAAGAATCCTGTGATACAATAATATTTTTTCATAAAAGAAGTGAAAAGAAACTGTTTACTGAATTAATGGTGTCAAATTTCGCTAACACTACAAGGATAAAGGGGATTCACAAATAAATGCAAAATCTTTGCGATGGCTATTCGGAAAATGCTTATTAATTTCTTAATTTAATATTTGGTTTTTATACCTTCGTAATATTAAAAAAACAAGATATATAATTTCCAGTTGTTTTGGCTAATAGTTATTTTTACAGTGACATATGTTTTTTAATTTATGGTCGTCATTCAAGGTATTAAGTTTGTGTTAATTTCGTTCTCTTAGTGGTTTTTTCACCTCCTAATGAAAAATGCCGCTTATCAAAGAAATCAGTAAATGCCGAAGGATACCAAAAGAGAAACAGTCTTTGGGTAGTGATCAATCCATCGATGATGAGGATTCCGAAATTGACGAGGAATTTGTTAAAATGAAGAAGTTTTTCAAAGAGTCTAAAGATAAGAAGTTTATAAGAAAACTTAAAAAAAAAATTAAGGAAGCTTTATCAAAAAAACAAAGCAGTGACTCCTCAGAACCTTCATCAGGCAAGGAGTATGGCAAAGTCGAATATCCTGAACCTCTTCCTAAAATGGATATGAACAAGAAGCCTGGAACATTCGAGCTGAATTCCAATAAGAAGCCTGGCCTTGGCAGTCTTTTGAGTGGTAAAAACAAGCCTCTATCTAAGCCTTTGAAGAAGATTGAAGATTTAGGAAAGACTACAACTGACAGAAGCAACAATAATCCTTCTAGTTCGTTGAATCGCATGTCTGTCCAACATAGTAAGAATTGTAAGAAAGATGATAAGCCAACCAATAAGATGACTGAATCTGACAACAAAAATAATGATAAGACGAAAAAAGAGCCTAAAAAGAATGTTTACGATGTTCCTCTAAGTAAAAGTGACCGAGATCTTACTAAGAACGAAGTAGAAGCTATGATCAGGACGGTGTTGAAGCAGTCGAGGGAGGAAGGTGGTAATGCGGATGACATCGATGACGTTTCCTTAGGAGAGACCGAGAGTACTCCCAGTTGCGATGATCTTGACCTAGGTAAGGACCCAGAAATGTCTTCAACTCCTGATGATCTAAGTAGCGAAACATTATCTGAAGACGAGGACAAGAAGTTTGTATATTGATGGATTTATTGGAAGTTGGAAGTTGGATTGGTTGTAGGGATGACTTTCTACCGCAAGTTTCATATTTAATTGAGCCATAACATCAATTTCTTCAGTGGTTTTGGTGTTAGAAATATATTACCGTAAGAGCCGAATTGTTGTAACTAGTTTACTATTTGTAAATATACACCTTGAATGACAGTCATTATTCAATTTTTTAGGACTAGTTGAAAGTAAATTTGTAATTTGTTTACTGTATTACCATGTCTTTGCACATCAGTGGTAACATAGCTTATTTTCGGTAATGTAGATCTAATTTTAACAACGTATTTCAGCTCATACAGTTTCTAATTTATAGTGAAATGTTACAAACATGTAAGATGTGCAGATTGACTTAATTATAATGCTAATAAATATAGTTTTTAATATTGAAGCTCATTCTATAGAATTATCTTGTACTCCAACAGGTTCTCATAATAACCATATTAAGGGTAATATATAATGGTCTGGAAAAACTAATCTATAGAAGAGTTGGATAAGATACTCCCAGTAATAATATTTTTTATTTGTGAATTTACCAATAAGATCAATTATGTATGTCCAAATTGCTCTCAATATATTTATATTCTAGATTTGGTTATATTCTCTTATCAATTCTTGTATTCTTAATTTCGTATTTATCATACAAATAAGTTTTTGTTTCAAGGTAATGTACGTAGTTCTTTGTATGGACTGGATTGTTTTCAATAGCTATTAGTGAACATGAAGCTTTTCTTAGAGGGAAACCGACATAGCTTGATTTATAAACAACTTTTATCAAAAGTCTATTATAAGTAACCTTAATTGAGAAAGATTTTAGTATTTGTTTCATTTTTAACTATGGGTGACTTTTGAACAATATACAAACTGTTTTATTTGTCAATAAACAAGTTTTAAAAAATATGGTGCGAGCAACATAAACTTTCACTCGCCGCTCTATTTTGAATATTGGATGTAGGTAAATGAAAGTGAAAAGATAATTTTTCATCAATAGTAGGTACTATTTTTCTAGGAGAAGTAAATGGTTCCGAAGGCCAATAGATAGGCACATTTTATTTTTATTATTTACTCTATCTATTTATTTTATTGGTTAAATCAGTTAACGCGTGTCTTGTGATTTTTGTATTTATCTTTCCATTACTTTATTTCACGTAGGCTTTAATTTGGTTAGGTTTAAAGTTCGTTCGTCAGGCGTAGTTATATAATGACAGTTTTGAGATCATTCTAAATGGAAGAACATGCATGTAACGATAACAGGATCTCTACTGGGGCATGTAATCACTACGCTTTGTAACAAAAAAAAAAAAAAAAAAAAAACCTCAGCGAGTTTACACATGATTGTTTTCCGTTAGGAGTGGGATCCGCTAACTGTTATTTTTTAACCGCAGGTAATCAGCCGGTGGATCCGCCGTGCTGTGGGAAACCTTTGTTCTCAACTTTTTCTTTGCGATGGGCGTCCGTTCGGATTAACAGCTCTTTCTAATGTGAATAATCTGTTCTAATCTTTATGTGAAGTAGTTGTTCCTATAACAGGATACTTTATAAAGAAAAAAATAGTACGTTCAGAATTACGTGCTGCCCTGAAGTTCCAGCCCGATGGGAATTACTCTAAACTTTGTACATTCTCAACTACGAATCGATTCCTGTTGATTCAAAAGGTCAAGAGATTGGATATTCTACTAGATAACCCTATAAGATAATTGAGAAGCTATTTGAATAAATGAGTTCTAAGGACTGACTGAAATACCCTTCATCTATTAAAGCCTCTGAAGATAACTATTCCATATATACGATCTAAACTGGGACTCCGGTTTGAATGGCTTGAATATGAAAATCGCATTTATTTCTCAAGAATGACATGAAATATTTTTCATACTAGCCTTATTTCCAGAATTTATTTTATTTCTTAGTGTCATTCACGAATTTTTATAAACTAGCGGGGTAGCTCAGTGGTAGGGCACTAAGTTTCCAATGCTTAAGGTCCCAGGTTCGAATCCCGGCTCATGGTAGAAAAATTATTTATCTGTTTCATTGGTCTTGGGGCGACCCTAGGGTAGTGAGAATCTCACTACTCTTCTCATCCTGGGGTAGTGAGAATCTCTTGGGGCACACCTAGCCTCTACAAAGTGGGTACAATTAATTAAATAATTGGTTAAGGCTGAAAATCTGGCTGTTGGCCGTGATCCTGGCCCAATCTCCTCCCTAAAGATTACTGAACCCAAGATCCTTCATGGATTTTAGTTGTACAGATTTTTTTATGTGGATGATTGTATTTTATAGTTTAAAATTCATGTATAATTTTATGTAAACAAGAAAACAGAATGAACTTGAACTTTTATTTTATTTAACTAATGCACATATTAATACAAAATGAAATTAGTATTAATAAAAAAAGTACAATTATTAATACAAATTTATTCAAATCAAAGGTCGGATAAATTAATAATAAGTTAGGAGGCGTTGTTCAAAACATTTTAGTTTTTATTGATTGTTTGGCTAGACAGGAGAATTCAAATTATGCGAGAAAATTTGGATTGAGAATCGTAAATGAAAATTTACGAATCTGGGTTTTCAACGGAAATACGCGTTTTGTGGTAACCAAGTACCCAAAAATGATCTGTGTGTCTGTGTGTACGTGAACTCTCTAGCTCGAAAACGAAAAATCGTACGAAACTGATATTACGTATTTAAGATAGGTACAAGCCTCAGATGTCCTAGCAACTTTTTCCTTAAAATCGGCAAACCGGAATGCCACTTTATATCAATGGCGAAACACATTTTTACAATTTTCTCAAAAATGGCTCTAATAATTTGATTAAACTCGGTGTATCATTGTATAATTAAGCGGTCTTTGTACCATTTAGGTCTTATGGTACAAAGACCGCCGTTGATGTCACTTTATAGGGCTTAAATGCTGTAATTAACTTTAATATGGCTCATTTCAAATAATTAACTATCAAAGTTACGAAAAATATAACTTTTATAAATAAATAATGGAGAAAAAAAGCAAAATGCTTATTCAGCTTGAAAATAAATCTCCGGAAATACTAGTCAGAAGGTATTCGTATGATATATCGTTGGAAACTGGGGGATTTTAGAAGAAAAATCAATTCCAATATAGAAAGTTGTAGAAAGTAACAGAGAGTGGCGAAAAAAATATAAATAATAATTTTGGACCACTAATAATATTTAACATAAATCACATGTTTTCAAGGAAATTTAATGGAATTAACGAACTAAATGTAAACTTTAAAAAATATTTTTAAGTTTGTGAAAAGTATTTAAAATCCACCTTATCAAGGCAATGGCATGTTGAAAAAACCATTTCATTGTACTTGTGTGAAAGAAGAAGTAAAATACGAAAATATTTCATGTATATGTTTATAACCTTAAATATATTTACTGCATTTTCTTAAGGTTCTCGAATAACTCTAGATCTGATATGATATTTAAATAATTAGGTATCTATCGTCCGTTTATTCCGAAAAATCATTCTGTGACCTTTTAGAAAATTAAATTAGTGATTAATTTGATAAATTTTCCCTTTGCGATATTCGTACAGAATCCACTTACAATCATTGTGAAAACTTTTTACCTGTCTATGCCAGACAATGCAAATCTCTTAATCCCGTTTTAGTAAACTTTGCAATGGAAAATAACGGTTTAATAACTAATAGTCGTACAATCCATATTCAACGGATCGTACAATTCATAATCAAGGAATCGTACAACCCATAATCAACCGGTGATATACTAAATAGGAGTTTTGTTATTTTGATAGTATTTATGATTTGTTAGCTTTTAGCTTTAGCTCAGTTAAAAATACAATGCACAAATTTTATAATAGCCCAACATGAACAGAAAATAATATCTATTCAAAGTTGAGAGGTTGAAAGTTACGCGCACCAGATTTTTTTCCTATTTATTCGAGTCAACAATACATTATTTTCCTGTGTTAGGAACGAAAAAACATGATTAACTGTTTACCTTTATTAATGCTTACTTATTGGACTTCAATTAATTATATTTTATTATGTAAGAAATTTAGTTGTTTTTTTTCTTTTTCTCGGGTGCGCGCTTACAAGAAGCTCTATTTAGTTCAGAGATATAAAGTCTTAAAATAATAAGTCTACCCGTTCACAAGAGTTAATGGTGGATTGGGCACCCAGAACGAAATAAGTCCGAAAGTCTGTTTTTTTTTTTTTTAGATTTCTGAAAGTTTTGACAGACAGTGATTCTTACATCGATATTTTTAATAAGTTAAAATACATTTTCTATTTAGTAGTGGTATTAATGTAAAGAAAACATCATTAATAAATAATAAATTACTTTATAAACTATGAAAATAAAAATTAGTTACTCAGGTAAATGTTTAGTAATTTGTAATAATAATATAATAATTTATTTCATTTGAAACAATTTCACGATAGTATTACTATATCCTTTTCCAAGAATTTATTGCGGCATGATCTGGCCCTTATTGTCATGACGTATTCTCCAAAATCGATTCGGATAATTGAAAGTTTGGTTAATTAGTGGTTTTCATAATTGGAGTTCTACCGTGCATAAATGATAATTCAATGTATAAGCATCTGAATATATACATTCATAAACCTATGAATTGAATTGAAACTTCCTGCCTAACAATATCCTTTAATAATACTCCACTCATACCTGTTAAACAAATCCGATACTTTGGACTCCAATTAGACAAACGTCTAACTAGGTATCCTCATACCAGGCTGAAACGACTAGAAATCGCAAAGCGTTTCCGACCACTTCAGCATTTAGTAGACAAACGCTCTAAGCTTTCAATTAATTCAAAAGACTCTTTTATATGGTTATAATAAGACCTATTTGGACTTACAAGATTAAACTTTGGATCCAAACTAAACCATCGAATTTCTTCCGTGTCCAGTTTTTACAATCCGAAATTATTCTTAAAATCCTCAATGCTCCTTATTTTGTCACCAATAAAGTCATCCTTAACTACCTAAATGTTCCTCGGATTTGGACCAATCCAGATACCTGTCCTTCCATGATAAACTTCAGAACCATCCGAATCCTCTTATTTCTAACCTTGCTTCCTCTTAGATTCCTGATAACCCTCCGAGGCGTCTGAAAATTAGATGACCTCGAGATCTTCTAAATTCATTTTTAAAGTGTTATCAGTAGGTAGTATACCAACAAGTTTTTCATGTTATTATATTCCTGTGTTCACATTTACAGAATGTATTTTAATTTTTAATACAGTTGTAAATATCATGAATAATTAATATGTATAAATATACACTCAAGCACATAATTTTGAAATATAATTGGTCTCACATTTACAATCTTTAGATTACATTTTAGATTTTAAAATCTAAGACTGCTATAATGGATTTAATGTTATTGATTACTTCCACATTCTTTACTTAATTTTTCTTAATCTTAAATAAGTGTACCAGTGATTAGCAATGATTCATAGTTATTTCTTCTTTTAAGTTACCTGGATTGACATTTATCGTTTTATTAGTTGATATGGTGAGATTTAGTGTGAAACTGATTACTTCAGATGATAATGCAGTACATAACTTTCAACTCGTGAGGT